GGGTAACTCCTACATTAATGTTAACACTTCTATTGGCATCTCTCAAGTCCAACAAGTCACCATTAAATGCCGTGTTCGAACAACAGCTTTAGGTATGCCATACAACATTTGAAAAGCAGAACTTTAAAACATGAAGGACTCTGCCAATGCTGAAAGCCCTTGGAGTGTTACAAGAAAAGACAGCAACTGGATTACAATAATAAACCTTAACTGCGCATATTATACTGTGCACACTGCAAGGAACTCCTAGTTATTTAACACTAATAGTACTATGTTGTAGGTATTCAAGAAATAATTCAGTCTAACAGTGTGTTTAAAAACACACTGTGAATTAAAATTAAGCAGTATGACCCATCCGCATTATGTTGATGCTCAACACAAATTTACCAAAGGACCACTGATCTTACACAGGAACTGCACCACAGCACTGAGATGCTCAAGCTACACTGGGTTCCAGAAGCAGCGTAGCTGAAGAGGCAGAGTTTCTGATGGCCTAAATTAGTCTGTACAACATAACGCAGACATGCTCATATTCTTTCAGGAAGAATTTAACTCATGTATAAAAATAATGCAATCAAGAATTTCAGGATCACTAGAACTCTTAGTGAAGCAGAACACCCCACAGGAGAACATGCTGTGGGGATGGCCAAGGATACTACAATTAGAGATCTGCTCTCCTGATAACTCCCAAACTACCTGCAATCACTGTGCTAGTCCACCAACTAGGATGACAACAGGAGACAAGGAGTAATACTTTGGAGTGAGGTTTGCCAAGAGATTAGACTGAGTATCATCATAAGTACAATTAATATTTTAACAGAAATTCCACTGTCAATAAAGAAAGGGGTAACACACTTTTAGCTAGTCTCAAAAGCTACATATGAATCTACACATGCAGTCATTAGTAAATATAGAGCCTCATGCTCTATAGGGGGGCGGTCAGTAGGTCGAGAGAGGTTCTCCTCCCCCTCTACTCTGCCCTGGTGAGACCGCATCTGGAATATTGTGTCCAGTTCTGGGCCCCTCAGTTCAAGAGGGACAGGGAACTGCTGGAGAGAGTCCAGCGCAGAGCCACAAAGATGATGAAGGGAATGGAGCATCTCCCTTATGAGGAAAGGCTGAGGGAGCTGGGTCTCTTTAGCCTGGAAAAGAGGAGACTGAGGGGTGACCTAATTAATGTTTATAAATACGTGAAGGGTGAGTGTCAGGAGGATGGAGCCAGGCTCTTCTCTGTGACATCTAGTGATAGGACAAGGGGCAATGGGTTCAAGCTGGAACATAGGAGGTTCCGCTTGAGTATGAGGAAAAACTTCTTTACAGTGAGGGTGACAGAGCACTGGAACAGGCTGCCCAGAGAGGTTGGGGAGTCTCCTTCTCTGGAGACATTCAAGGAGCACCTGGATGCGTTCTTGTGTGATCTGATCTAGGTGTCCTGCTCCGGCAGGGGGATTGGACTAGATGATCTTTCGAGGTCCCTTCCAATCTCTAACATTCTGTGATTCTGTGATTCTGTGATTCATGCATAAGGTATCCAAGTTCTAACTTCTAATTCTCTAAAACCTTGAAGGCTACTAGATTAAGAATCTTTGTTTTAAAATCAGCACTTGTGTATATTCATCAGAGCAAAAGAAAGCAACAAATAACATATTGCCCAAAGCTTCATTTACAGCAGTACAATAACAGTTTCCTTAAAGGACCAGCAACAAGTACCACATGGAAACCAAAAGACTCACACCCTTGAAGCAGTATCATTTAGGCTTTTAGGATGTAAATTTCAGTGATCCACTCACAGCTGCTAGATTATGCACACTGCCTAAATCATCACTGATTTTACAGGAATCTCATTTTTAAAAACCTTTTCTCACTGTGTCAAAATGATAGCATATTGACAGCATCATTTTGGCATTCCTTTGCTTTTTAGGACATGTTTTTACTGCCTATTCTCATCATCTGTTTATTTTTGGCTTCATTTTTCTAAATACTGAAGCTGCCCTATCAGTTTCACAGGCTTATAAATGTTATACATCAAAAATTAGTTTCACTTATTAAGGCAGGAAACAGCTTTAAGAACTCTGGGATCTGTGCCTCAAAGCAAAAGCTTTATCAGCAGGTTCCAGTCACTGCTTCTTGCAAAAGAAAATGGTGCCGATTAAAACCCCATACACCTGATTTCAAAAAGAACACCTACCCACTGAACATTTTTCACATGGCTGCAAGGGGGGCTGTACCCCAAACAGAAGGCAGCTGTTTCTCATATGCTCTCTGCCCCCAACCCTGCAACATTGCTCAAGAAAAATGAAAATTATACATAAAAAGATTAAGTTGAGATAAAATAACATAATTCATCCACTTATTTCTCTACACTTCAGAAGTGGTATACTTCACTACAGCCACAGTATAGTTCCATGCCTGACCTGCTCACAGTGTTGTGTCGCATTTGGAAGTTAGAGGGACAGAAATAGCCACATACCGTAAAAATTAACTCACCGTTAAGAAATATTATGAAAAATTAGTTTTAAAGGGGATATTTCTTTAAATTGCAAAGAGAAGGAGAAGTAGTGGTTGAATCAATACTATGCAATATGAAAGCAGTTTTATATTAAGTGTACTTGTATACAAAACAACGGTTTGAGTCAACCTCTTCCATAATCAAATCCTTTTCTATAGCTCTTCATCGAAACAGAATTACTCACTGTTAGAATGACTTCCTTAGAATAAAACAGACTTTAAAAGATCCATTAAAAAAATACCACTTCTTAAAATCACAAAGAAAAATGAATCTTGCAGTGGGTTAAGTAGCACATCTTTATAACAGGAGAACCCCAGTGAATTCACATGGATTGTTCCTCGACAGAACTCCTCATGAGATCAGGACAGTCATGTGACTTTTCCTTCTTTCAACATACTATTTATTCAGATAAACCCACTTAACCAAAACCAAGTCAAGGCTGTGAATACTAATAATGTTTCAAGCATTTTGTTTTCAGAATTACACCATGCTAATATTTAAAAGTCAACAATTTGGAGCTAATGTTCCACAAATAATAATACATTGCTGTAGCACCTGGGATATGCTAGATGTTGTACAATCCCTTGGCTACCAACATCAGATAACAGTTTATCATAAATATTACAAAACCTTAAAACTTCTTACGTTAATTTGTTTTTATAGTCAAACAATTTGCACTAGAACCTCAGTATGTTTTATTGATTATGATACCCTAACCACTTTAGAGTAGATGGGACAATGACATTTGTGAAGGAGAACAGCAAATGTTTTTCATTTGTACACACCAAAGGTAACATAACAGTATCACAGTCAGAAGCTGGTCAGACTTAAAGGGAACATTAGGACATATTTCTACCACTGTCAACAGCTGTTATCTTTGTGGATTCATGTTTTGCGATCACCGTTGACAAGACAGATAAGAGTCAAGCCATTAGAAACTACCCTGAGTGAGTAAACATAGGAGTGTAATGATTGTGTAAGAACATGCACTGAGGAACAGTTAGTTCTGTCTAACCTTACTTACAGAACCATAAAACCATTTCAAAAGCCATCTGTTTTTAAAGCCATCACAATACTGTATTATATTGCATTAAACAGATTTAAATTTGTAATTTTACATTAAAGCTTAGCTTCAAACCCTGTACTCAGGAAACGTTCTAAACATTTGTCTGAGAATGAGATGTATTTGGAATGCTTTTCTAATAAATTTGAGTTTTGCTAGTATATACAGCAGACAGAAAATTCTCATTAACTCTGTGAAGACAGAAGAGTATGCAAGACAGAGGAATAAAAGCAAAAGTTCTATAATTAATTTTTAATATAAATTTTGAATATGTCGAATTATATAAATCATATGACTTAAAAATGATAGCTTGCTTCTCCGCTCACTTCAAATGGCACTTATTTAGCTATTTTTTCTTATCCGGCTTCAAAACTATTCCAACTGTCTTTTTATCCAAATTTCCTCCTTTGCATTTTCTCCCCTATCCACAGTAACAGTGGGCACCTTCATGGATTTCAATTACATACTTCAGCTGCTACCACCTACCATATGTGCACAAACTTAACTATTCCTTAAATGAAACTGCAATTGCCAGAGGTATCTGATGAATTGCTCACCAGTTTAATTATTCACTCAACACTACATACAAATGTAAAGGGTCCATTTTTTGTAGCAAAGAGAAGCATAGCCTCCATAAAACTCAGGATATACCAACTAACATGACATCTTGAAAAAAATGGAGCTTCGCTTACCTGTTTTTTTGGGTTTGCTTTGGTTTTGTTTCTTTTTTTTGGGGGGGTGAGGGGGACAGGTGGGCTGGGTTCAAATATGCATTTATACATTAAAAATTATGATAAGAAAAAAATATGCATTCATCCTATAAAAGTCATTCTACGTTTGGCTACATCAATCTGTTTGACATCCATCTGCTCCCATTGTTCTTCAGAATTCTTTCGGCCATCAGCTCCTGATCACATCAATATACAGGAAAAAAGCACTGATGCACAAGTTTTAGTATATCTGTCCTCATTTTGGCATGTCTTGCTCTAAACTTACTAAAACTCCACCTTTTTTCAGGCTTCCCAAGCTTACTGAGGAGGGAATGCAAAGAAGAAGTCTGAGGCACAGGGAACTTGCAGGATGGGAACATCATACTCCTGTTTTCTTGGCTTGTGACTCGGAGAAAAACCGAAAGCTCAATATCAGGACTAGCTACTGAAGCCTCTGACTCATGGAGTCGCCATGAATGCTTTAAAACAAGGTTACTTGGAATCATTCATAGTTGTATTTTCAATTATTATACATAGCTACAGCTGTCCAAGCATTACTAGATTTTTTAGGAAAATCCTGCAATCACTGACAGAAATCTGCTCAGGAAGCAGGAAATATGCCCCGATCAATCTCCAATGCTATTTTACTTATAACACTTCTTAGATAAACATATAAAACTAAATGTTTCCTAAGAGCTTTTGTTAATAGCCCACTTACCTCACGAATGGCTAACCTGTCACTCAGCTCCACCGCCTTATCAATGTCACCTTCAGCCACAGACTTCTCTATGCTAAGTTCAAGACCAGACTAGAGAAAAAAAAAGCAAATACCTTCAGGACAAAAAGAAATAACATCTTTCATAAGATTCTTTACTTAAGACACTGCAGAAACCTGTAATTTTTATGTAACACAAATTACTTTGTCTGTGTATTGTAATGGACAGTATAATTAAGAATTCACTGAAAGGCTGCCTGAGCACAAATCATTGCATTAGTTCCACCTTATGTGCAGGATAATACTGTAGGTTAAAAAAATTACACGGACTAGTTTATGCCTGTCACAACAAAATTTAATCTGAAGATCTGGCTTATCTTTTCCATCCCTGAAGCTTTCTAAACAAAATGTGAAATATATGTGTCAGGTAACATGAAGAATGGCAATTACCACTGTATCGTTACAGTTCTGAGATCTTATCTTTATCCGAAAACCGAGTTCTGGCATGGTGCCACTCCACTGTGCTAATAAATTAAAAATTCTAGCAATCCCATGGAACACAATGAAAAACCTTCAGAATGTAACCTCTGAAAATAAGACCTTTAATAACCTTTATGATCAGTGTAATATAACTTGTTTAACAACATTTACAAATAATGTAACAATAAAAGCAAATATTTACTGTAAATTACTAGTTGGAAACTTCTGAAGGAATATAGAAGTGTAGCACAGCAGTAGACACTGACTTCAGAATCTCATAAAAAAATCACTCTCATAATAAAAGAAAATTTACAGCCTCATTGGTATTAAATCTTAGTGATGCTAAAGAAAACACATTTGACAGTTTCATAACATATACTTTTTTTAAAAGGTAAAAGCAAAAAAGCAAACAACTCTTGAGAAACAGTGATCTGCAAATACCACACTTAAATTATTCAGGTGAAAGTTGGGGGGGGAAAAAAAGCACACAACTGGAAGTTGCAATAATAGCCAATTGTGTTAGATGTCTTTTCTGAAATGAATGAGATATATGTTCCACCAGTGATAAAATCTCTAACTTCCATGGAGAGCATCTGCATTTTAACACTTTGGGCCTCGCTCCAGATGTATCCTGAGCAGTTCCACGACAACTAAATATCCATCAAAAGTAAGAATTCAGACAGAAGCAAACCATCTCTTATGACTTACATGCAGTAAATTACTTTAGGCAAATGAAAAATACATAATTTATCATAAAGGAGGCTAACTGAACATTTGCTGTCATTGTACTTATACAGGCCTTTACTAGAAAGGCTACAGAACAAACAGTGCTACAAGGAACCCACAATATAATGACTTTCTTAACTTGTCCATCATGTTGTACCAGCTATTTCAAATATGACTAGTTACACAATAATATTTATCAACAGAATGTATTATAAATCCAGTAAATCTGTACAATGGGTTTGGCCCTCTAATTCCTGTAGCCACTGGTGTTAACTAAAGGATCTATGTGACAAATGTTAAAGTTAAAACATGACTGAAAAAAAAAAAAAATCAAACATGCACATGAAGTGTTCTGTCTCTCATGATGACAGAAAACAAAACCAGACAGGAAACAAGTACGGATATTGGCTCAAAAGGAAGCACGGCAACCTTTCAATCCACATATAATTCAACTGATATCTAAAAGGAAATTAATTAAAAATGTGCACAAGGTTATCCTTCCTCAGAGTGATGTTTACTCAATTTCAAATAGTCTCCTTTCTATTCCTAACTCAGTCAAGGCTGAGTTCTTCTACTGCCAAGTACAAACTGACATTGCTTTTGTATCAACAGTCACCTTTTGTGGAGCCCTGCTATCCACAGGCAATTCAAATTTATCATTGATTCCAAAGTATTGTGTAAGTTCCTTCCATTTGTCTTCATTTGACAACTGTTGACTACTGAAAACAAACAAACAAACATCATTAATATAAACAGTTTCCTTTCCATAACTTCTAATATTCTTTTCAAAACTAAAATAAATTTTTCTAATTGGAAGATGTGCTCTTTTCTCCCAGTCACAGTTTTTAATGGAAGTGAAATTGATTATTCCTTCCCTTCTGTAAGTGGAATTCCACAGTCTTGAAAGCAAGCTTACAGAATCATTTAGGTTGGAAAAGCCCTTTAAGATCATCGAGTCCAACAGTAAATCTAACACCGCCAAGGATGAAAAAGAAGAGGAGGAGCAGGCTGAACAGGAGCTTGTATGCAATGACATGCAAAACATCATTAGAAATAACATTAAGCCCATTTTAAGTTACACTGAATAATACATTTGTATTGAATCTGAAAACCAAGCATAAATTCCATCAAGTAATCACTGGTATCAAATTCAGCCCGCCCAACTTCAGCAGATATTTCACATGATGTTCAAAGCTGGGCTTTGGCCATGCATGCTATTAAGTCTTTTACAAGTTTTGCCTGATATTAAAAACAGACCTCAGACAATCACATTGACCTGGTTATACCTCTTAGGCACTTCATTGTTCTTCTTCTGTTTTTCTAAGAAGAAAAAAAAAAAAGCCAACATTATACAGTAATACCCGATAGCATCTAATAAAGTTAATAGAACTCTAATTGGTCACATTTCCTTTGAAAGATTGACACACTACGATTTTTACCCAATGATCACGTGGATTTAAACCACACAGCTGTAAGGCTTTTCATACAATGAAACTCCTACAGTATCTGTAAAGTTTTACCCAGAATATGCAAAAAGGGTGTTTTATAGAATTACTGAAATACTTATTTACAATGGGTAAGTGTATTCACTCATTAAGTTCCACCTCCTCTTTAAAAAGGGACAAATATATTACTTGAACTTTAAGCAGCAATTTACAACCTAGTCCTACAAATTATGTATACAACTGGAAAAATAAAATCCTAGAGAATAGCTAGAATACGTCTACTCAGGCATTCAATCCTTGGTAAAAAAAAAAAACAAACCAAAATCAAAACACAACAAAAAACCCAAACAAAATCAACAACCCCCCCTCCCCCAAAACTAGCAAATCCCATTTCCATTGTATTTGATACTAATTCTATGTTGAGAAAATAAATTTTGTAATTGTATAAAACACCTTTTCTGCGGCGCTTTCTTTTTCGGCCTTTGTTTCCCTGTTCTGCTTGGGTTTTCATTTCACGGTTTTTCTTCTGAAGCTCCACAAATTTCTACAAAGTTAAGAAAACGCAAATCAGTATTTCTTAATTTTTTCATTAAAAAAAAAAAAATTACATTATGTCCTGACAAATGTAGTCCCAGTATCTTATTTATCCACAATACCTTGTTATATCTATTACTCTAGAAGTTACAAATTGAGAACATCCAACTCTGACGGTGTTAAACTGGAATTGGCTCTAACCTTTCATCACCTCTGACTTTCTGCCCTCTCTAAATCCCAGGACTATTCAAACCCAGCAGTCTTCTCATGGGACAAGACACGGAATACACTTGTGCTGGTTGTGCACTTCTGAGCAATGTACTGTTACTGACCAGCTGGTAGCTTGTAATCAGAGTATCACTGACAGCATAGTCCTTGCCCAGCAGGCTACCTACATGCACCAACGTACATTGTTTTTGCCAATTCTTTTGACTCAAAAGCCTAAAACAGGTTGCTTTATTTTCACGCTTTACATGTAACAGGAAAATCAAGAGGTTATAAGCAACTATGAGCCTGAATGCCGGCAACTAACCCCTACAGGAAGCAGAAGAGTACACCTCTACTTCGCAGAGATGCACCACCAGTACAGTGGCTAATACACTTAGCTATAAATCCTTACTAACACAGAAAGCAGTTATGAAGACACTCAGAGTCCATACACTACTGAAAACACAAGTCTTTATGCAATTCTAGAGTTACCCAAACATCCCCCTGCTGTGCCTTCAACCACCACTGCACTAGGGAAAATAAAAAGTTACATTCATTTCCTATCTAAATTCCTGTTCGCCCTGCTTGAAACAATCCAAGGTATATTACGATGACTGTGCTTTGACCCTATTTTATTTAATTTCAGATTTGTATATTGAATATTCAACATTAAGTTTTAATTTAAAAACTAGCCATTTGACTGTGCGCATGTGGTATTTATGCTCTGTACATTTGGAAACCTGTAAATATACCCACATTCCACAAACTTAAAGGAACTCCAGAAGGGCAAGTCTGAGACATGTTTTCTCCATCTGTCACTGATATTGCAATGGGTTCACTGATGGCATTACTTTCAGGTCCATTCTCCTGGAATTCAGAAAGCTGAACTCTTTCAGTATCTTCTTTTGCATCCTCCTTTGAAGAGGAACTATGTGATTCATCTCCCTCATCAGAACTCAGGTCAACATCACTTTCATTCAGTCCTGGAGGTAACAGTCCACTCCACATCTGTCAGTTCAAAGAGGTCCAAGCCACTTCAAGTCACTGCAACGACATCAGTTACTTGAGCTTACATATTCCAAGATAAAAACAGAATTAGCCTGCAGAAGAGAGAAGCAGAAATAGTAAAAAACATGATCAGAAATATTTTAATTTTGAGAAAATTAATTATCATTAAATATTTTAGACAAGCACATTATAAGGCTTCTAATACTTACTATTCCAGAGAGAAGTGGAGGATTTAGGTACACAGGCTGAAGCTATTGGCTCTCTTGTTTTCCTTCCCTGTTCTGTAAAGTTCTGTCACGCCGCGCTTGTTTACAGCTGCTCAGTCTACGGGCGATACCGCAGCACACGCCTCCTGCCTCTCCCCAAGGGCAGGGGGGTGCACACCCAGCCTTTCCACGCGATGAAGCCACAGCGCAACTGCCTCCGGCCCGCTGGGCAAAGCCGAGTGCGGGTGAGCTCCGCCGGGGGAAAGGACGGAGAGAAGAGCCCCCCCACCCCGGGGCAGGCAGCAGGCCGGGGAGGCGAGAGCAGCCCGCTCCCGACGAAGCGACGTGAAGGAAAACACCGCTCCAAGGCAGGGTGCGGGGTCTTAGACGGCCCTCCCGTCCCTCCAGCCTCCCGCCAGCGCTGCCGAACTTTCCCACCCCCCCCCCCCCCTCGCCACACCCCCACCGCCGCGATTCTCCTCAGCCGTGTTTACCTGCCCGCCATCTTGGCACCGCCGGAACACCCCGCCTGCCGATTGGCCTCTGCCCCGCAGCCAATCAACGGGCGCTTTGCTGCCTCGGGCCCCGCCTCTCTGGTGTCCATCACAACAGCTAAGCGGGGCAGGCGGGTGGATTGTGCCGGGCGGGGACGAGGGTCCGGGCCCTGGGGCGCTGCCTTCCCGGGCAAGGGGCTCTCCGCTGGGGCCGTGGAGGGGTAGGCCCCGGGGCTGGAACGGGTCCCCCCTTGTCATTGCAGGAGAATAGCCCAACACGTGCAAGTGAGGCGGGAGGCGGGTTTGTCAGGATTAACAGCAGTGCTGTGGATGAAAGGCAGGTGACAGGCTCTGCGGGATTCCTGGCTGCCAGGAAGCAGTGTGGCCTCAATTTCCAACCTAAACCTTGTGAGTTACCTAGTGCGTAAGCGTTTGTGCTGGGACAGGATGAGTAGTGTCAGAACCTTACTCTTCAAGGGTGGAAAAATCCTTGTTAAGGTTCCCACTAGTGTCTTGGTGTGGTGAGGAGAAAACCTCAAAAATGCTAGTCCCAGGCCTTGCAAGGTTGTTCATTGTGGATTGTTTTCCAGCTCATGTTTTCCTCAAACTGCTCCAAGAAGTGTGAAAAAGCTCTTAGAAACTCATCGGGAATTCTGAGCACTGTGCTTGGTGCTTCAGAGGTGAGCAGTCTGTGCAGAGCATTCAGGAAAGGTCTTGTTCATTTGGAAGATTATCTTACACCTTGGCCTTTCAGCTTTCATGGGTGAGACAGACGGAAACAAGTATTTAGGAGCAGTGCCAATATGATTCAGCAACATCATCTTGCATACAAGCAGCAACAGGAAAGATGTGTTTTTGAGTGATGATTTGCCAGTTTGAAAACTACATGTCAGTATCAAGACTTCTGAGAATGGAATTGCTGACACCAGATCAGGACACAACCCAGTTGTAGACAAACAGCTCAGCTATGATGGAGTGAGAAGGGGGCAGGAGTTTAAATGTTATGAAGATGGATAATAGGTGATATGGCTTTAAGTAGAGATTTCTAGATGGATCACAGGTTCTGGGATTGGCTGTGCATAGAAGGAAAAAATAAATACCTTTCTCATGGACATAAAACATCTTCAGATTCATTTCCTTTTATGCCATAATTTTACATCATCAGATTCATTTCTAAAATCAATTAATTCCATAAGTAATCACTTTTTCATGAACTACATGTACATTTCACACTCAGCTTGCTAACTAGTTTTTCTTGTCATCTGGGAAATCAATTTTTAAGAGATTTATTTTATTTAGATTTAATAATTGATTGTATTTGGTATACAGATAAGTGGTAATTGATAAATTTATTGATATTGGATATTCTTTGCCATTTGTTCTAGCAAAATTGTTAGACCATTATATGCGTTATATTTTCTTAATGTGAGAACACTCCAATAATTGAAAGATATGTGACATCTTCATGACCTGTACATTTATATGTTTCGTAGGGATACATTTTCAGAAGGCAAGTTTTATTTCATGTCACAATTTGTATCCAAACATCCTCCTTATGTAGTACCCACAAGACAAATTGGCACTGGTAGTGCACACAAATGAAGTACTCAAATGTTCACCTGCATTTCATTTTATAATTAAAAAAAGTATTGTAATTTAAAAAGCCAAATTTCAGGATAATTTCCAGTTCTCCTACAACAAACTCTGACTTCTCACAGGTTCTTCTATGAGAAAAAAAGTGGAAAGTGATGTTCCCTGGCTTTCAGCAATCCAGAAGCATTTGTATTCAAAAGGTCAGTGATTGCTGAAGCTACAGAAGACATTGTTGACTACTTAACAGAATTTGCAATTTAATAATGATGTGTAGAGTCTTCTGAGGGGTAGGAAGAAGAGGACAGCACAGTGACCAGCACTGATGTCCCTACATAACACTGCATGAGATCTTGCTTTGGTGTCAAATTCTTCTTGTGCCAATTTTCTGTTCCCCATCTAGCAAATATTCTAATAATCTAATTTATTTCCTTTTGGTCAACTGATCCAACTTCCTTTCTCACTTGAATTCCTGTCCTGGAGACCTGCCAAACAATAATTGTTATGAATGAAGCAAGTCATGCCTCTGAGATTCCCACAGAACATCAGACTAGTTCAACACAGTAATTACAGGTTAGATATATATTATGCTATTATTAAAAACTAACTGAACTTTAGAAGGAAGGCCTAGTGCAATTAGGTGTAACATCAAGTTTAATTTTAATCTTTCAGGATCTCTGAATTTTCAGGTTCTAGATGATTTTCTCTGTATCTCTCTCTTCCCTACCTTTACCTTCAGCTGTTGCATATTTACAGAGACGACTTTTATTCCCAGTTGTTATCGTTTGCTTTGTCAGATGTATTGTCTTGTGGCAATAGGAATATGAGGTTCCTGCTGTGGGGATCTCTGTAGAGCAAAGCACACAGTCTGCTCAGGGGTTGAAACCAGCTGCTCTAGGGGTTGGTCTTTCTATTGTTACTGTAGAGTAACCAAGTGGTAGTGTATAACACTATGGTACTTCTAGTTCTTGCTCTCCTGAGGTAGTGTTAAGCTAAGTTTGCTTGAGAAGAGGATATCCTATATTAATTTGGGTAACCAATCTATGGTTCTGGTTGTATTTTTGCTCCTGTTACTGTTTAGGATGGACTCTTCGTGTCACCACCACTGATCAAGCCTGAAGGGAGCGTTTTTCCACACCTTTGCTTGGTTTCATGTAGCAGCACTGAAAGAGAGTGTCCTGCTAGTTCTGGGTGAAAAGTAGTGATTATCATCCACAATACTCAGCATTGCTTGGGTTCTTTTTGAAACACTGTCCTAATGAGGAACTGTAACAGGAGTGGTCACATTTGTCAAATACCAGAAAAGTGAATACCTGTGTACATGCCTGGTCCCCACGGCAGGTTCTCACGGTGGAGCTCCCCTTCTTCAGGCCAGCTAGAGGTTAGGTTGCTGGGCTGCAGAACACAGTGGAGGCCTGAACTATTTCCCCAGAAACATACTTGAAGCCATGTTTGACTAATCCTGTACATGCTTATTTCCACAAAATATTCACTGTTTCCTAGCACAGAAATGGAATGTACTGCAACATAAATTATGTGTTATTAGCTGTTTCTTGGTTTTTAGCAGTAAATGAGGACATCAGAAACTTTTTCTTAAGCATGGAAATACGCTACATTTTTATACTTTTGAGACAGTTTTTGAAATATGTCAAAAATGATCAAGAACTGAATTCTTGTTTAAACATAATAGGAAGGCCTTATTATATAAGCAGATTACAGTCATTGTGTTAGTATATTATCTACCTTGTATTAATTTTTGCTAACATAATGAGAATTTCTTCTAGCATAACTATATTTTAGTACAATAAAATAGTGTTGGGAAAGAAAATAAATATTATTTTAAAGAGAGATGTAAAGACAATAAAGTAACCTGGTTTTTTTCCTAAACTTTTAATTTGTTGCTAACTAAAGTAATACTTTTTATTAATCCTTTAAAATAATTATATTCAAATGAACATTTAAAGTTATTTAAAAGGATTACAGAGGGTTTCTTCCACGTACTATGCCATATAAGAACAAAATTAGTTCTTGCTAAATAAATATTACAAGAACCATCATAGAGACAACTAATGGAAATCTCCAAAGAACATTATCTAAGACCATACATTAAAGTATATATTCTGTAAAGTAAATATTCTGTAGTATATATTGTAAGTAGTAATGATGTTTTGTAATTTGAGCTCTCTTTACCTCATTCAGAGTAAGACTTTAATCCAGGCAGGCCCCTGCCTGAGCCCTGATTGAAAGCCTGTTAAAGTCAGTGGAAAGATTTCCATTGGCTTCATTTAGGTTTGGATGAGGCCAAGAGTGTGCAGCAGGGAGCACAGAGCTGCTACACTGCCACACAAGTTGGCTGCATCTGTGTACATGTGGTTTATATACCAGATGTTATCTTCTGTCAGTTAATCTGAGTCTCAAGTCCCCTTGCCTTCTCATTCCCACTAAGGAAAAAAAAAGGAAAGGGATGTAACAAATAATAGTATTCTGAAGAGGAATGAGCTTGAGTGTAGTCCCATGTGTACAGTTGAGAAGCTTTGCTCTGTTCTCCCTTCTTAGTCCTTGTACTGCTGCTAGCCAAGAGGAGCTCCACAGTCAGTCCGCAGGGCTCTTTGTTGAGCAGCGTCAGAGGAGGTCTGCTCAGATGCTTCTAAATTTGCTTGTTTGAGAGCACCGCATAACTGAACAGTGCAGGATCAAGCCCTGAGCTTTT